GTACTTGATTGCTTTGCTGAAGATCAAGAATGAAATTGATGCCATCCCTGACCTACCAGAAGAGCATGTCGAGAGGCATCTGTGGTTCTTGCTCATGAATAGTGGTGAGTGAACACGCTTGCTCATGCTCAGTAAGAAAATTAATGTACAAATTATTTTTCTGCAGTCCCTGGAACACCTCTTTATTGCAAGATTGTTAATGCCACACCCATGAAGTGTATCTCAAAAAATAGCACCCTTTTACTGTCTCCCACATAGATCTACATGGTTGAGGCTAGTGGCACTTATGTAGATCAAATTTTGACATAAACATGAGAATGCAGGTTTGTATGGTGGTGTTTACCTGGAGTTTACCTGGAGAGAGTTCCGGGGTCAACGCCCCCGCGGCCCGGTCTTTGACCAGCCTCCTGGTGGATCAGATTTGAAGAAAATATCATAGATGGATTAATGAAAATGTCTATATTAACGTGAAATAAGACATTTAATGTGGCAAAGAGTGATTATTAAATATACATTGCATGTTTACGTATATGCTATTTAACATGTTTCTTATATAATTTTGAAGATATAATAGATGGATTAATGAAAATGTTTATATTAACGTAAAATAAGACGTTTAATGTGGCAAAGAGTGATTATTAAATATACATCGCATATAATAAACATTGCATGTTTATATGCTATGTAACGTGTTTCTTATATAATTTTGAAGAAGATATAATAGATGGATTAATTAAAATGTCTATATTAATGTAAAATAAGGCATTCAATGTACCAGTGATTATTATTAAATATACATCGCATATAAACATTGCATGTTTTTATATACTATGTAACGTGTTTCTTTGGGCTTATGGTTGCTTATTTTGCAGTTGCACTCAATAACCACAAAAATGGATTATAGCAAAATGTTTGGATGAATGAGCAGAAGTTTCCTCACTCGCCCAGAGACAAAGCCAAACTGACTCGCAAGCAGTCCCAGCCAGCGGATGGATGCCTCCCAAACTGCTGATAACTGAATTAACTGCCGATAACCGGGCGCCGAAAAACTGGCCGATAACTGAACCGGCCGATAACCGGGGTCCACTGTACATTATTTAGGTATTCATACTGGTCAGAGAGCCATCATAAGTCTAAGTTTTTTTGGTAAATGAGGAGAGGCTGTACGTATATGGAATTGGACTGTTAGCTTTAACCATTGTGTGAGTTCAGTAAGAATTAATTTTTCAGCACCACAGGGTACAGTAAAACCTTTGTTTATTAGACCACTACACAACAGATTTTTTATAATGGGCAATAAAAAGACTGAACAAAGGCTTAGTGAATCCACTGCATGGAGTTGTCTGTTAGAATTATGAGTGCAGTGGACCAAGTCTGCTGCATTGCATAGCTGTCTTTATGGGAGATGCCTGGTAGTACCCTTGATTAAGCTGACCTTCTGTTTTATAGGTCTGTTGTCCTATTATTTTTACTATTCCTTGATAATGTGAGAAATAAAAAAAACGCTTAGATTTTCTCTTATTTTGTCACTGGTTATTTTGCATATATATGTGAATCTATAACCAATAATAATACAGGTTTAATCACTCGGCAATATTTGAAATTGTGATGCCAGTCAAAAGGGATCTTTAGAGCAATCTCATAGAAATCAGTTTAGGGAATGTCTGTATGAAATTGAGCAGAGAGCACCTGCACATGTTAATTACTTTACAAATTTGCATAGTACAGTAGAACCCCGGATTTCAGCCATAAATCCGTTCCAGGTCAGCCTAAATCCAAAAAGGCCGAAAACCGAAATAAATATTTCAATAAGAATTAATGTGAATACAGTTAATCCGTTCCAGAAAACCCAAAAATATTAACAAAAAATACATTTTTTAAAGGTTAACATACACAAAACAATGAGAACTAAATAAAATGGTAATGAAATGGATAAATTAACCCTTTGAGGGTTTCGGCCATACTAGTACGGCTTACGACCCAGGGTTTTTGACGTACTAGAACGCCTAAATTCTAGCTCCCTCAAATCTATGGGAGAAAGCTGGTAGGCATACATATGAAAGAAATGGGTCTATGTGGTCAGTGTGCACAGTATAAAAAAAATCCTGCAGCACACATGCATAATGAGAAAAAAAAAGCTTTGACCATGTTTTTTGGAATAAAACAGCGACTTTGCACTGTATTTTCGTATGGTAATTTATTGTTGTATTCTAGTTTTTCTTGGTCTCGTTTTATAGAAGGAAGAGATATTACAGAAATTGAGATGATTTTGACTGGTTTTAAAATTGAAAAGTACCTTGAAATTGAGCTCAAAATAGCAGAAATGTTTGATTTTTACCAAAGTTCAAAGTAAAAAAATCGTGCCAAGCGTCCAATACACGTCAACCTGTGAGTCTAATATTCTTTCACAAGTGTGCTGATATTATTTAAAACCATTTCTACACTAATGCAGCACCCCTGCAAACAGTAAATCTTCTTTTTTTGTGAGAATAAAAATTGAAATGGAAAGCCAAAGAAATATAAGAGGGGCCGGGGGATGTGACAAACGAACAAGAAATGTTATTTTAGTGCCAGGAATGTCTTTTTTGTTTTTCTGGACCCTATTTGGAAATTGGCATCTTTTGAAATTTGTGTGAAATTGGCAAAATTGCTAAATTCTGAACACTGTATTGGATAGCTGAAATTAGTAAATGGGTGGTTTCTTGTACTCATTCAATAGAAAAAATAGAGTTCTAGAGAAATAATTATGATTTTTGTCAACTAGTACACTGGAATTGGCCGAAAATAGGGCTCAAAGTGGGCAAAATCGCTGATGCGTAAACATCATTGAGACCGCTACCTCACAAGAGCACAATTCTGTAAGTTTTCCATCAAATTTCATACTTTTGGTGTCATTATGATTGGGAAAAGATTCTCTAACTTTTCATAAGAAAAAAAATTTTTTTTTTTTTTTTTAAATTTGGGGGACCCTGAGAAGAAGTCTCGGAGAGGGCCTGTCGACCCTCAAAGGGTTAACATTTAACATCACATTTACCTTTATTGAAGATTCTTGTTGGCATATAGAAGACAGGAAGGAGGAGAGAGGGAGGACTGATTATTGTTTGGAAGGGGAATCCCCCTCCATAAGGACTTCAGGTATCAAGTCCATATCTAGGGTTACTTCCCTTCTTTGTCTTTTACTGGCACTAGGACCAGCTTGAGAGTCACTGCACCCCTGTCGCACAAAAAACTGTCCAAAGAGGTCTGTTTCTGGCATCTAAAATTTGCCTGAAGTGGAACAAGGTTTTGTCACTGAACATGTCGCAGATATGGCTTATTTCAACTTGGTCATGGTGATACTTCTCCACAAAACTTTGCACTTTCCTCCACTTTGCACAAATGTCCTTAATCGCTGAAGAAGGCACCTTCTTCCCCCTCTCTTCCTCCTCTGAAACAATTTCCTCAGCTGTGGTCTGTTGCTGTTGCAGATGAAGGTCTTGCAGCACTTCAGTGGTTAGCTCTTGGGCCTATGGTGGCTTATTTTGCAGTCACACTCAATAAACAACCACAGAAAACAATGGATTATAACGAAATGTTTGGATGAATGCACGGAGTGTTGCTCACTCACCGAGAACCACAGCCACACTGACTGACACACACGGCGTGGGAGGCGGACACGTCTAATACAGCCGATTTCCAAGTTGCCAGCCAAAATCCCGGATAGAATTTCAGCCAAAAAAGCAACCGAAATCCGATTTTGCTGATATCCGCACCAGCCGATATCCAGGGGTCCACTGTAATGGTTGAGCAGGGTTTGAAATTTGAAACCAGTTGGTTAAGGAGTTTTGAAATTATAAAGACTGATCCAGAGCATTGAATTTGTTATGTCTGTGCATTGTATGTGGAAGTTCTGAGTAGTGATGGTGTAAAAGATGTGTAAAGGGACCTTCTAATGTAGAAATTTATTTAAATTGCATTTTATGAATACAGTGGACCCTCGACTAACACCTGCATTGGGTAACGCCTAGGTTTGGTGTAAAAAAAAATTGGCTTGGCTAACACTAAAAAACTCGGCTAAGAGCTTTCGTCCCGAACGTGTCGGCACGGCGCCCTGAGCGGGCCCGGCCACTCACTCCATGTACCAGCCAGTGTGCCATTGTTTACAAAGCCAGTGAGGACAATTCTGTGCGTACATGTGATATGTTTTGTATTATTCCATTTTTTTGGTGTTTGTAACTGCTAAATAAGCCACAAGGGCCCCAAGAAAGCTTCTAGTGCCAGCCTTATGGTAAAGAATGTGAGAAACATACATATTTTAAGAAAAAGTTTGTAGGAAAATACAAAAGTGGTGGTGGTAGAGGGTGGTAGTGGTTGTGATGGTGGTAGAGGGTTGTAGTGGTGGTGGTAGAGGGTGGTAGCGATTGTGATGGTGGTAGAGGGTGGTAGTGGTTGTGATGGTGGTATGGTATGATAAGGCATGGTGAGGCTGCCAGTTCTAACAAAAAAGCTGAAAAATATGTGCAGGACTTTAAGGGGTACATAGGGGCTGAAAAATTAAAACCCCAGCAAGTATTCAATTGTGACGAAACAGGCCTGTTTAGGAAGAAAATGCCAAACAGGACCTACATTACTCAGGAGGAAAAGGCACTTCCAGGACACAAGCCAGAAAAGGACTAGTTACCTGAAGTCTTTATGGAAGGGGATTCCCCTTCCAAACAATAGAATACCTTCATCCTCTGCCCTCTTCCTGTCTCATCACTAAGTCCACAATAAAGGTAAGTGTGATATTATTATTGTTTTATTCTTCATATATCATTGTTTTTCTGTGTAGGGAAATGTATATTTCATGTGAAAAAAATTTTGTTTAATACTTTTGGGTGTCTGGAACGGATTAATTGGATTTCCATTATTTCTTATGGGGAAAATTAATTGGTTAAAGGCTAGCTCTCTGGAACGGATTAAAGGTGTTAGCCGAGGGTCCACTGTATAAGGCTTAAAACTTTTTCTTCTTAAATTTTCAGGTGTGGTCCAATGGTACTTGATGCTTTGCTGAAGATCAAGAATGAAATTGATGCATCCCTGACCTTCAGAAGATCATGTCGAGAGGGCATCTGTGGTTCTTGCTCAATGAATATTGGTGGAGTGAACACGCTTGCTTGCATCAGGTAGGAAAATTAATGTACTAATTATTTTTCTGCAGTCCCTGGAAAACCCTCTTTATTGCAAGATTGTTATTGCACACTCCCATGAAGTGTATCTAAAAAATTAGCACCTTTACTGTCTCCCACATAGATCTACATGGTTGAGGCTAGTGGCACTTATGTAGATCAAATTTTGACATAAACATGAGAATGCAGGTTTGTATGGTGGGTGTTTACCTGGAGTTTACCTGGAGAGAGTTCCGGGGGTCAACGCCCCCGCGGCCCGGTCTGTGACCAGGCCTCCTGGTGGATCAGAGCCTGATCAACCAGGCTCTGATCCACCAGGAGGCCTGGTGTGCCCAACATAAAAAAAAAAACTGCTCCATGCAGTGTATGATGGGAATTGCTAACCTCTGACCTTGTGGTTGATCAAAAATGGCAATAAAAAAGGAACTTTCAGTTTGCAGGGTGTCGACAGTGAAAGGGTTAAATAACAAGAAATTGCAATATTGTGGGCCATGCAATTACTGTACCTAAGTAATGGTTGAAATTTTTAGTAAAATGCTCTATAGGTTTTCAATCTGTTTACTGTAAGGCTTGGTGGCCACACACCAGCCATCTTCCATTGTAGTAGGGTGACCCAGGAAAGAGGAAACACATTAGCTGTCTTGTCAAAAGAGTACCGCCATCATAGTTCAGAACAGCTATCCACCTTTTGTTCCTGTTGGTGTTTAATGCATCAGTCATGTCTACTAGATTCCTGCCCTTCTAATTGAACTAATGCTTTCCACAGCATGTATCACATGATGCTTCATTTGTATAGATCCCCTATATCAATGCAGTTAGAATTTCTTTTTTTTTTTTTTTTTTTTTTTTTTTCTTTTAACAAGTTGGCCGTTTCCCACAGAGGCAGGGTGACCCAAAAAAGAAAGAAAATTCCCAAAAAGAAAATATTTTGGATGGCATTAAATCAATCACATGGAAAGCCCCTTAGTTATATAGAGGATTCTAGGCTTGGCATGCATTGCACATCTTAACCAGGCATAAATTATCGTATGTATGAGTGATAGTGAAAATGTTAAATGATGATGAAAGTATTTTTCTTTTTTTTTTTTTTGGGTCACCCTGCCTTGGTGAGAAACGACCGATGTGTTAAAAAAATATATATATATATTTATATATATACATGTAAAACATGAAATAACTTTAAAATACAGTGGACCCCCGGTTTACGATATTATTTCATTCCAGAAGTATGTTCAGGTGCCATTACTGAATGAATTTGTTCCCATAAGGAATATTGTGAATTAGATTAGCCCATTTCAGACCCCCAAACATACACGTACAAACGCACTTACATTAATACACTTACATAATTGGTCACATAATGGAGACACTGTGCTCATGGAGAATGTAAACAAACCAGATGGCACCCGGTGACCGTATTAGAAAGACAGGTGGGGGGGGGGCCATATAGTGAGTTTTGGTCGTAATTTGAAATGTCCTTATTAGCAAAACACCATAAGGTGAAATGCTGTAAAGCGGGGCCCTACTGTATTACACTAATTATACATTCTTGTGTCTTTTATGGTGATGTGTTATTCAGGCATTACTGTTATTCTCTAACTGTGGTGATTAATGATAAAGTGAAGAAAGGTGTGTAAATGAAAGATGTGATATGAAGAAATCTTAATTGCAACCAATTGTAAGAAAACCTGCAATAATACAACTTTATAATACCAAGGAATTCATCCACCACATATAATGCCTAACCTTTAGTAGGTATCATAATTATGTATGTGCATAAGTATGTCTTTAGCAGATTATTTGCTGACAGTTTGAAGTGTCACGGTAACTTTTGCATTGAAGACATTGCCAGTTGCCATAATGCCAAAGACATAAAATATGGGCTAAATGACTGAAATTTTAATCTTTAATAACTGGCCTGGTAACTTGCCACACTTAAATTTGATAGAGAACATCTAGAACCTTATTAAGTGTAAGCTTTGTAACATGGATGTGGCCGCTATCCCTAAACTCTAGTGGCAAAATTAAACAGGTGTGGGATGGAACTGAGTTTTTTATCATCCATACTTTACCTTGTCTGTGCCCAGGAGGCATGAAGAGGAAAGGTAAGCCTATGAAATACTAGATTAGGTGAGTAGTCCATATATATTTCAGTAGTGTTCAAAACAATAATTTATGGTGACCATTCTCATTATCTGTATGATAAGTTTATGTACATAGATATACTATACAGCCTCTCCTCACTTAATGACGGACTTCCATTCCTGAGACCACATCGTTAAATTCGTTGCTAAGTGAGGAGCATACTATAATGGTAGTGAGTTTGTGTCAACCATCTTTGATCTTGTTTTAATGTCACCTTTGCACCATTTATAACATTTCTGGTATATTTTTAAATGTTTATACAGTAGTGTACTGGATATTGAAATAAACAGAATAGAGGAAATCATCTATACATTATTTAGGCATGAATACTGGTCAGAGAGCCCGTCGTAAGTCCGAGGCATTGGTAAACGAGTACGTCGCTAAGTGAGGAGAGGCTGTATATGAAACCTATACATGTATATATATCGAAACAGTTCTAAAAGTAACAAGAAGGAAATGTATGATTGGAAGACTGTACTGACTTGTCTTCCACTGAGTAAGCTGACTTTCCCAACATATAATATTTATACACAGGTTCTCTGTCCTTAGACAAGGTCATGCAGTATTTACCCTTTCACCAAATTTAGCAGTTGAACAATATGAGGCAAGTATTATAGACAAGTCTTACAGCTGCTGCCAATAGTCTACCCTTTCTCTTAGCATATATATGCTAAGAGTACTTTAATCCCTATTTCAGGGATTAAAGTATTCTTGTCTAGTGATGACAAAGTTATATGCAGCCTTCAAGCACTATAAGAGTGCTCAAATGACTGTAATTACGCTAATGATGCTATTGTTTACGTAGCAGAATAGCTGAAGGTGGCTATCACTGTCTCAGTCCACTGTATTTTTACTCTGCTGCTGGCTGTGGCTTCAGTGAAAATGTGAGACCCCTTATTTTTTTTTTTTTATCCGACACTTCACTACATCTGAATTGTCTGTAAATCATATTTTTTTTCTTTTATGGTTTATGCATAAGCCTATAATGTTGTGTTAAAGGGACAAGTGAGAGACTGCAGCACTACACATTCGATTGTATCATCTTAGTGTGACTGACAGTCCTTCCACTTTCCATGTAACACTAAACGGTCTTATCATCTATTACAACAAAACTTGTTGCAAAGAATGTTCTTATAGTCATTTTCTAGACTTTTTTTTTTTACTTATTTAAGCTGCCTTCTCACACCAAGTTAGGGTGACCCAGAAAAAGGAAATGCATTTACCATTCATTGGCTTATGATCACTTGTGAATTTCTTGAAAGAACAGGTGCTCAAGAGAGAAAAAATTCTCTATTATTATTATTATTATTATTCTGCAGTTGCTGTCTTGCCAGAAGTATACTAAGATTACAGTACAGTTTCACTTTTCACTGAAGCATTCCCATTCCTCCTTCAGAGTGCAGGAACTGTCCTTCCCTCTTCCATGGCAAGTCCTGCTAACTAGTTTCCCTTAATCTTTTCTTGAATTGTGCCTTGGTCACACCCCCAACAGTACATCCACCTATCACCACAAGCCTGTTTGATGCTCAAGCCCCTAAATTGTAGAGATTGTTCCTGGGATGGCCCCTTAATTTAGACTTGAAGTATTGTACTTATAGTACAGTAAGTGTTTTTATGACATTGTATTTTCTTTTATATATATATATTTTTCAACAAGTCAACCGTCTCCCACCTAGGCAGGGTGACCCAAAAAGAAAGAAAATCCCCAAAATGAAAATACTTTCATCATCATTCAACACTTTCACCTCACTCATACATAATCACTGTTTTTGCAGAAGTTCCCAGATGCAACAGTTTAGAAGCATATATAAAGATACAATATAAAAAGTGACCTGAAATAGTTACAACATCAGGGCCCCAATTATATATATATACCATCCTATTACACATCCCACCAAACTCCCAATATCCCAAACCTCAGTGAATCACAAAATTGATGAGAAGAAAAGGGTGAGTGGTGCACTTAGGAGTCTGTGGAGACAAAGAACTTTGTCCGTGGAAGCAAAAAGGGGAATGTATGAGATTATAGTTGTACCAACACTCTTGTATGGGTGTGAAGCATGGGTGATGAATGTTGCAACGAGGAGAAAGCTGGAGGCAGTGGTGATGTTATGTCTGAGGGCAATGCGTGGTGTGAATATAATGCAGAAAATTCGTAGTTTGAAAATTAGGAGAAGGTGTGGGTTTACCAAAACTATTATTCAGAGGGCTGAGGAGGGGTTGTTGAGGTGGTTCGGACATGTACAGAGAATGGAACAAAACAGAATGACTTTGAGAGTGTATAAATCTGTAGTGGAGGAAAGGCGGGGTAGGGGTTGGCCTAGGAAGGGTTGGAGGGAGGGGGTAAAGGAGGTTTTGTGTGCGAGGGGCTTGGACTTCCAGTAAGTGTGCATGAACGTATTTGATAGGAGTGAATGGAGACAAATGGTTTTTAATACTTGACGTGCTGTTGGAGTGTGAGGAAAATAACATTTATGAAGGGATTCATGGAAACCGGCAGGCCAGACTCGAGTCCTGGAGATGGGAAGTACAGTGTCTACACTCTGAAGGAGGGGCGTTAATGTTGCAGTTTTATAACTGTAGTGTAAAGCAGCCCTCTGGCAAGACAGTGATGGGGTGAAAGATGAAAGTTTTTCTTTTTCGGGCCACCCTGCCTTGGTGGGAACCGGCCGATGTGTTAATAAAAAAAAAATTTAATACTATTTTTTTTGTTTTGTTTTGCAGCAAAATAGACACAAACTTGAGTAAACCAACAAAGATATACCCCTTGCCTCATATGTATGTTATTAAGGATCTAGTTCCTGATATGAATAACTTCTATGAGCAATACCGATCTATCCAGCCCTGGTTGCAACGAGGAGATGGCCTTAATCCTGGTGATCAGCAATACTTGCAGTCAGTTGATGATCGCAAAAAGCTGGTTAGTAATTGCATAGTTTTAACTTTGACCAGTCAGACCCATTCTCTCATATGTAGGCCTACTGGCAATCTCCCCAAGATTGGAAGCCGCTAAAATTTTGGCATAGTATTATGGGACCGACACTGGCTTCAAAGCTGTAATATTACGGGACCAACAGTGAAAGGATTAATGGATGGTCTGTGTCCAAAAGTGTGCTGACATCACTGTTCAGATTACCCTTCAAATGCCTTCAAAGTGCAGCCACTGCAGCTCATCTATTTAAAACTACTTGTCTCTATTCATTTATACTTAGCATGCTTTCACAAGCCTGCTTGGTGCTCAAAACCCTAAAACCCTAAAGTCCCCCTTATCTCTCTAACCATTCTTGGGATGACCTGTATCCCTCCTACCTTCCATATCAGATTTATGCACCTTCTTTGTCATCCTGTCTCTCTCCATTCTCAAACCACCTCAGCAACCCTTCCTCAGCCCTCTGAATTATGCCCTTGGTGACCCCACACTGACTTTTAATTTATGCATGTACATAAAATTCTTTGCAACAATATTTACACCACAGATTGCTCACAAACATAATATCTTCACTGCTTCTGTTCTCACTGCACCACTCAAAACCCATGCAACAGTATTGGTACCACTATCTTCTAGCACATTCCCCTTTGTTGTCTCCATAGATAAACTTCACAGATGCCTCAGCACAGAACCTATTCCCCCCCCCCCCCCCTCTTCCCCTATTTTATGGTTTACTACATTATTTGTAGACTTTCCTGTTGAGATGTCCCTTCCTATTTTTTTTTTTTTAACATGGTAGCCATCTCCCACCAAGGCAGGGTGACCCAAAAAAGAAACACTTTCACCATCATTCACACTATCACTGTCTTGCTGGAGGCATGCAGATATGACAGTTCAGATGTCTTTCCAAACAGCAAATATCCCAAACCTCTCCTGTAAGTGCAGGCACTGTACTTCCTATCTCCAGCTAACTTGTTTTCCTGAATCCCTTTACAGAATATTACCTTGCTCTTATACAAACCGCTTGGCAGGTCCCAAAAAATCATTTGTCCTCACTCCCATCTAACATGTTCACAGGTGCCTGCTGTATGTCGAAGCCCCTTGCACACAAAACCTTCTTTACCCCCTCCCTCCATCCTTTCCAGGGATGACCCCTACCCCACCTTCACTCCACTACAGATTTATATACCCTCTGATTCATGCTATTTTACTCCAACCTCTCTGAATGACCAATCCACCTTAATCCCTTCTCAGCCCTCTGGATAATACCTTTATTAATTCTGCACCTCCTCCTAAATCTCCAGACTATGAATTCTCTGCATAACATTTACACTAAATAGTGTCCTAAATCCATCCACTTCCTCCATGCTCCCTCCAGTCTGATATTCAGTGTATCATTTCCCAGACTTTTTATTACCTTCATTATCTTGCTCTTTTCTGTATTCACTTTTAATTTACTGCTTTCACATACTCTTCCAAATTCATCAATTAACCTTTGCAACTTTTCTTCAGACTCTCCCAAAAGAGATGTCATTGGCAAATAGTAACTGACAACTCTAGCACTGCATTCTTAAATTAACCCCATACCTTATCCACCTCCACCTCTGTTTCTTGTACTCTCTCTAGCCTGCCTTTCTTTCAGTAGTTAATGCCTGTTGCTAACCATAGCCTTCTTAATTTCATTCACTTCTTTCTTCTGCCTTTTAATGTAGCTACAACTAAATAATGCTCTGACATAAAAGTTGCTTCCTTAACAACATGCACATTCAAAAATCTTGGATCAACCTTTTAGCCACCAGTACAGTTTAACAAACTGTGTGACTTCATGCTGTTATTGCACACATCATCATATTTCATGGATATTTTTTTTTTTTTTTTTTTTAACATGTCAGCCGTTTCCCATCAAGGCAGGGGTGGCCCAAAAAGAAAACTTAAAAATTCAGTTAACATTCCCAAAATCTCTCCTCTGCACTTCTCTCCACTTATTTTAACTCTCTTCATACATCCCACTTTAATCCACATAATTCTTGAATTTAAACATGCTCCCTCCTTCCTTTCCATAGTTGATTACTTATCACCTCTACTTATTCATTAACTCTAGTTCTCGGATATTCATGATTTAACCCCATTTACCCCTCTCCATTGAAATTTGCATACTTATTTTAGCTTCTAGCAATTGGACATCCAGCTATCTTTTTTTCATAACATTAACAAAAAATTCTTTTCTGTGCTATTCTTTTCTGTGCTACACCCACGCACTTTCAAAGAATGCAACTTCAAAATTTCCCCTATTCTAGTAATTGATACAGAAAGGGTTAGAGTACTAGCCCCTTGCTACTGGCATTTAGTTCCCTTCTATGAAACTCCATTCCACATGGGGAAGGGATTCTAACCCATTTCCACATATTGTTTTTTATATAGCTATCTTGTACAGTGGTCCCTCGTTTATCGTAATTAATCCGTTCCTGGAGGTGTTACTATTATCGAAATATACGATTTTCGAATCAATTTTCCCCATAAGAAATAACGTAAATACAATTAATCCGTTCCTGACACCCAGAAGTATTGAAACAAAAAATTTTTACATGAAATATAGATGTAGTACATAAACAATACAATGGGACATGATGAATGAAACATTAACAGCATAATGCTTACCTTTATTGATGATTCTTCTTAGTGTATGGAAGACTGGAGGAGGAGAGATATTGGATTATTTACAGTTTGGAAGGGGAATCCCCTTCCATCAACACCTCAGGTACCAATTGCTTTTCTGGGGTTACTTCTCTTCTCTGTTTCTTAATGCCACTAGGACCAGCTTGAGAGACACTGGAGTCCTGTCTCGCAAAATAACTGTCCAGAGAGCTCTGTTTCTGGCGTCTCTTTAACACTTCCCTAAAATGGGCCAAGACTTTGTCACTGTACATGTTGCCAACATGGCTTGCAACAGCCTTGTCAGGGTGATGTTTCTCCATAAATCTTTCCATCTTGCCCCACATTTCAAAAATCTCCTTAATTTCTGAAGAAGGCACCTTCTTCCATCTCTCTCCCTCTTCCTCTGCAGCAAGATTCTGAGTTGTGATCTGTTGCTCTTCCTGCTGAAGCTCTTGCAGCTCCTCAGTGGTGAGCTCTTCGTTGTGGTCTTCCACTAACTCTTCCACATCCTCCAAACTCGCATCCAACCCCACGGAACTCCCCAGTGCCACAATAAATTTAACAACAGACATAGGCTCATCAGGGTCAGCCCCAAACCCTTCAAAATCCCTCTTGTTGACACAATCTGGCCACAATTTTCTCCAAGCAGAGTTCAAAGTCCTGGTAGTCACTCCCTTCCAAGCCGTACCTATAAGGGTTATGCAATGGAGGATGCTGAAGTGTTCTCTCCAAAAATCTCTTAGGGTCAAGTGAGTGTCTGAGGTCACATTCAAGCACCTTTGAAACATTGCTTTGGTGTAGAGTTTTTTAAAGTTTGCAGTGACCTGCTGGTCCATGGGCTGGAGGAGAGGAGTGGTATTGGGGGGCAAGAACTTTACTGTGATGAACCCAAACTCCTCAAAAATTAGGTCATCCAAGTTTGGAGGATGAGTAGGTGCATTGTCCATTACTAGGAGGCACTTGAGATCCAATTTCTTTTCCAGGAGGTAATTCTTCACACTAGGGCCAAACACTTCATTGAACCACTCGACAAAAATGTCCCTTGTGACCCATGCCTTAATATTAGATTTCCAAAACACACAATTTACTCTTCATAACATTGTTTTTCCTGAACACACTGGGATTTTCAGAATGGTACACTAATAACGGCTTCACTTTGAAATCCCCACTAGCATTAGCACAGAACATGAGCGTCAGCCTGTCTTTCATAGGCTTGTGTCCTGGTAGTGCCTTTTCCTCCTGTGTAATGTAGGTCCTCTTTGGCATTTTCTTCCAAAAGAGGCCTGTTTCGTCACAATTGAACACTTGTTCAGGTTTCAGTCCTTCAGCCTCTATGTACTCCTTGAATTCATGCACATATTTTTCAGCCACTTTGTGGTCCGAACTGGCAGCCTCACCATGCCTTACCACACTGTGTATGCCACTACAGTTCTTAAATCTCTCAAACCAACCTTTGCTGGCCTTAAATTCACTCGCATCACCACTATTTGCAGGCAGTTTCTTTACCAGATCGTCGTGCAACTGCCTAGCCTTTTCACAAATAATTGACGTCATAAGACTATCTCCTGGTAATTGTTTCTCGTTTATCCACACCAATAATAACTTCTCAACCTCTTCGAGTACTGGTGATCTCATTTTTGTCAGCATATTTACCCCTTTTGCAACAACAGCGTCCTTGATTTCCTTTTTCTTGGCCACGATGGAACATGTGGTTGTATAGGGTTTGTTATACATCCTGGCCAGTTCGGCCACACTTATGCCACTTTCATATTGTTCAATGATGTTTTTCTTAAATTCAATCGTATTTCTCACCTTTACCAAAGGCTTGGCACTAGGAGCTTTCTTTGGAGCCATGGTAGCTTATTTAGTACTTGCAAGCACTAAAATGAATGGAATATCGTGCAGTATTTTGTAGGAGCAAGTGAGGGGACCTTCGCTCACTGGTAAACAATGCCACACTGGCTGGGTAGGGAGGCCACCCCGTCTCACAGTGTGTGTACACGTCCCGGACGAACTACGTACTATTCGCGAGTCAATCTACGATTAGCGAGCCCATGTTATTACGAAAATATCGCTATGATTTCCGAAATTTACGACTTTCGAGCCCTATGATTATTGAGGGACCACTGTATATTGTTAGAAATGCTTTTACATTTAAGAATTTTTTTCCTCTTTATTTTGAAATTAGGATGGTCTGTATGAGTGCATCCTGTGCGCGTGTTGCTCAACTTCCTGCCCTTCATACTGGTGGAATGGGGACAAGTACTTAGGACCAGCTGTTCTTATGCAGGCCTATCGTTGGATAATTGACTCCCGTGATGAAAAATCTGAAGATCGTCTTAAGAGATTACGTGATCCCTTCTCTGTTTACCGTTGTCATACCATCATGAACTGCACTAAGGCCTGTCCCAAGGTTAGTATAGTTATCTTCATTTTGGGGATATGTATTTTGCATGGTCTGCCATGTAGTTGACTTTTGCAAGGCATAATCTCAGTATGCAGATTTGAAACCAATCTCCACATTCCTGTTGGTGCCTGGGCTGTCAAGGTCTTGGGAAAATGATTAGGCAGAACCCAAGGTCTTGGGAAAATGATTGAGCAGAAGCTAAGGTGAAGGCTGCAATTTGGAGCTTTTATCTATAGTACTGCATTAGTTATCAAAATCATGCACTAAACCCACATGGGTCATACAACTCTGCTGTGTAGTAGATTTGGGTGTTCAATATACTATTTTATTGCCAAGAGTCCCTGTTAAGACATTGTCCTTAAGATTAAAGATATTTTGTACTTATCTCAAGAGGTGACAGTCTAGAAGATCCAACGGCTGCATCCTGAAACTTCTCTGTAGCAGCTGTCTTAGGTCCGAGGAGCTGAAATAGGGCAGATTGGACATTTGTTTACCCCAGCCCTGGCAACATATATTCCAGTATATCAAGGGTAGACACCTGGTGAGATCACATATCATACATGGTTTGGGCAGATTGCCCTTCCATTACGGCATCGATGAAAAGTTAGTCCCGATAAGACTATACCTGACCCTAGACACTGCAGTGTCTTAATGGGTTGAAGTATAGTGTTGGAAGTTGCCTGGCTTATGTGTAGCGGGAGTCGTGTGACACTACTGTGTTGTTGTGATGCCACTATCGATGGCTTGATTGAAGGTAAGACAGGTGTACCCCAATGAATCACTTTGATGTCTTCACTTCTTTAATCACTTTAGTGACATTAAATGTTGTTTAAGAATGCTGTGGGTAGTTCACCATATACACTGGCATTTTAGTTCATGGCACACTTACTGTTCAGAACATAATACCCTCATTTACATGTTCAGTGTCACCTGAATTTGTCATCAGTTGTCTGCAAGATTAACTCATGAATGTTAGTCTGTGGTTATTGGTCCACGGTAGGGAGAGTTACTGGCAATGACACCTCACTTAGCAGAGTTACCTATTTGCATCTCAACACTATCTCTGCTTTCATTCTCCTTAATATGTTCGTGGTTAATGTTCCACGGCAGGGAGAGTTGCTGGGGATGCTTTGCTTATCATTGCTGTATCTCTTCCTCAGTTCTCCCTGGATATTGTCAGAGCATAACTGAGTGTCATGGTTGCACATGGCATTGTAACCATGGTTATGTTTCAACTTGGACTTGCCCAGTCACTCTTTAGATCATTATTGTGTTGAGTCAATTAATCTTGAATTTTACCTTGGTGCCATTATTGACGCAAAACTGCTGGCATGATGTCTTCAGGCATCGGTGCCAACTCTGGCCAGTTGTAAGTCAAGGAAAGAGATAGTATAGAACACCTCAGAGTCAAGGAAAAGTTCATCCTACTAGCTATATCATTAGGCTAAAGGTTATTAATAACTAGTTTAGGACATGTTGAATAGAAGTCTTTCTTGGGCAAACATGTAAGTGAAATATTTTGAAAGTCCTTATTGGTAGAAGGAAGGGTGCCTGATATCACAACATTCAGTCTGGATGTTGAGACTACGTGAGGATGATATACGACCTCCCCGCATCTCGAGCCCTGTGGGAAAGGGGGAGGGGTCATCAACTCCACCTCTGTAGGTGGTAATTTCTCTACAGTCACTGTATAACCTTTTCAGGTTTAGTGCTTAACTTTATTACTGCCAGGCATGCTGGGCTATACCACAGGTTTTAACACACTTCAAATCTTGCACATTAAATGCTGAAAGGAAGTTGTAAATACAGTACATCTTTCTTGCCTACACTCCAGGGAGTGCAGTTTACTGTAATGAAGTTTAGGTATTGCTAATCATTCAGTTTCATTTTACTGATTTACCTTTTGAACAGGGATTGAATCCTGGGCGTGCTATTGCTGAGGTGAAGAAGCTTCTGTCTGGTATAGCCAAGAAGGGTGAGCCAGGCCTAAATGCATTGGGAGCCAATTAATCACAAGTGATAGTTTATAAATACACACAAGTGTAATGTTCCAGAGCCACAAAGAAATTTATATTACTAAAGTAGGGGATCTGAAATTACTGACCTGTGTAAGGATGGGAATATTTTGTAGCTAAAATTTAAATTGCATACATTTTCTTAACCCAAGTATTATATGCAGTAACTGTGCATTTTATGGATACAAGATGTAAATTTTTAAAGCAAAATATTAAACTGGAGTGATGTTTTAATAAGATTTATTGAAGCTCCTACATATGCTTACTCTAATATTTTTTATAAAAAAATAAATATGCCAGTAAAATTGTATTGCTCAATGGATGATTATTATAATGTAAAATTTAATGGCTTTTAAGGTTGCAATATAACTAGTGACATGTGATTGCACTCATTATGGTAAAAGTACCACACAAGGTCAGGCCTTTGGTGTAGGTATCTTGCTCGGAATCAGCTTCATCTCTTAAAATACTGCTAATGCCAAATTACAACCCTATGTACCATCAGTTTGGGAATCCCTTCAGCAACTGGGTATTTGGTCTTGTGGCATTTATTGAAAAACAAAATACAACTCTATACCTAGTCACAGCAGAAGTGTAACCACCCTTCTCTTTGAAACTTACATAAAGGCTGTTGTTTTTTTTTTTTTACTGATAAAGCTTGTTCTGAGGGAAACTGCCTACAATATAGGCTGGACTTTGTAGGTAGCATTTGCTGTATGTGCAATCTAAATTATGCACATTGTTCCCCCCATGTGAAAGTGCATATTGCTAGTGAATAAAAATACTTCTGTATTGTATATATTTGAGATAATAAACGGAAGTGTATATGTATCTTTTTCTGAAAAATATCCTACAATATTTCAATGTAATTGGATATTATGCCAATCTACAATGAAATATTCTGCTATTGCCCCACATGGGTTTGGTGTATTTGTAAATATAATTACCCCTCAAGGAAAGTTCTTTGATACTGGCAAGAGGCTCTTGATTCAAAGAATTGGACTTGTCCTCAAATTCCTTGGATTGAACCATGATTGCCTCCCATTTCCCAGGCACTTATGGCCCCCTATAGGTTTAGGGCTTTCCCCTAAATATAATTCAGTAGAACCAACATTTTGATGTGGGTAAGAGGCTAGAGGCAGCAGAAATGTAGTGTGGGAAAAGTAACTTATGTCCTAAACTGTACATGTCTTTTTCCATATCTTGTTAGTATCACCATACCATTTTTTCAGTGTGCAGTGAATTTGTGGAGTGTAGAAGGTTAAAGGCAATGTGAGGGTTGTTGAAATGGTTTGTGCATGTAGAGGATGGACAGGGATAGGTTGAGAGGGTGTATAAATCTGGAGTGGAAGGTAGAAAGGAAGGGGGTATGAGATAGGTTGAGAGGGTGTATAAATCTGGAGTGGAAGGTAGAAAGGAAGGGGGTATGAGAGGCTTTGGGTTTTAGAGGTGTGAGCATCCAGCAGGCTTGTGAGAAAATGTTAGTGAATGGAGAAGTAATTTTTTAATGGACATGCTCAGGGAGTGTGAGCAAACTAACTTTTAATAAGGGACTCGAGGAAACCGGTTAGCCCGACGTGAGGAATGGAGGGAAGGGTCATGCCCTGCACTCAAGGGTTGGGGATGTTGCAGTGTTTAGGACAATCTGATTATGATAGTGAATGGGTTTTCTCTGGGTCACCCTGCTTGCATAGGAGACAGTCGAGTTAAAAAAATAATAATCTACATACTGTAATATAAAATGTTTAGGCTATTTTTAAAAATATTTAAGATAATGGGCCTTTGTGTCTTCCTTAAACAGCCAATAAGTCCTTTATATAAATTTTGAAATTTTTAATTCCATAAAAAATGTGATCTTGCATGTGTGGCACACACTACTGACCAATAAGATAATTATTGTAATTAAAATACATTATTATTATTATAATAAAAAAGAAGCGCTAAGCCACAAGAGCTATGCAGTGCTGCAGGGCAGGAAGGATGCGAGGGCATCAGGTGGCAAAAGGGAGATGGATGAGTAATAGGTTACGGAGAACAGCGGGGCAGTGGATGGTGAAAGGGTAAAGGGCAGCAAGAGACTGAGCTAGAAAGGGCTGAAGGGAGTGCGAAAGGTATCATCATCAGAGTTTGTGGAGTAAATCAGTCATTGTCAAGAAGTCAATGAGAGAGTCAGGATTAAAGGAGGGTCCATCAGCAAGAAGGGAAGGTAAAGAGAGAGTAGTAGAGTGGAGACGACGACGGAGGTAAATTCTGCGTGCTCGTTGATAGAGACGGCAGTCTAGCAGAATGTGGCTAATCGATACGGGAACTTGACACTGCTCACAGAGAGGAACAGGGTGCCTCTCCATGAGATACCCATGGGTAAGACAAGTGTGGCTAATGCAAAGGCGGGAGAGAGTGGTCTCCCAACCTCGGCACTGATGACAAGAAGACGGCCAGTAACCTATGCTCGGTTTAATAGAATGAAGTTTGTTACCGAGCAGAGTTGACCAACGTTGTTGCCAACGGGTATGAAGGTGGGTAGCTATTGCAGCAAAATAGTCCAGAAATGGAACACCTCTATAGGAAATTGGTAGGTCATGTACTGCTGACCACGCAGCAGTGTCTGCCTGTTCATTGCCCTGTACGTCGACATGACCAGGGACCCAACAAAAAACAATATCTTTATGTTTGGTAGAGATACGGCGTAGCCAAAGTTGGATACGGAGAACTAGGGGGTGAGATGTATCAAATTTTCGTATAGCCTGTAGAGCACTAAGAGAGTCTGAGACTACCACAAATGATGACACAGGCATAGATGCGATACGAATAAGTGCTGTAAGAATGGCATACAATTCAGCAGTAAAAATGCTAGCCGAAGATAGTAAATGCCCCCGCACGACGCTGTCCGGAAACACTGCTGCGAATCCGACGCCATCTGAAGACTTAGAGCCATCTGTGTACACAGCGATGGCATGAGAATGAGTGTGGAAGTGATCAAGAAAAATAGAGCGGGAAGCCACCGTAGGCAGTTGGGCTTTCGAGCAAGGGAGTGAGAAAGAACAGACCCGAACAGCTGGAACTTCCCAGGGGGATAGGGAAAAGTGAGATGCTACATGAACACATAAAGGTGGTAACTGAAGGGAAGACAAGAGTGAATGTAGGCGAAGAGAAAAGGGACGGAGCAAACAGGGGCGGCGAACAAATAAAGAATGTCTACTAATATCGGTGACCATTCTATAAATGGAAGCATGTGGAGATCGTGAGAGCGTACATAGTAGCGAAGGCAATGGGCATCACGGCGATCAGACAAGGATGGAACATTTGCTTCTGTATAGAGGCTCTCAACAGGGGAAGAGCGAAAAGCACCAAGGCATAAACGTAATCCGTGGTGATGTATGGGGTTAAGGCTAGAGAGAGTAGCAGGAGAGGCAGCTGAATAAATCTGGTCACCATAATCGAGTTTCGATAAAACGAGGGCTGAATGTAGGCGAAGCAGAGTTCGACGATCAGCTCCCCAGGAAAGATGAGCAAGGGTTTTAAGAAGGTTTAGCCGGCTGTGACAAGTTGCCTTCAGAGAGGTAATGTGAGGTTTCCAGGATAACCGACGGTCAAAGAGAAGGCCTAGAAACCTGACTATCACGTTCGGGGATACGGGAGCCAGAGAGATAAAGGATGATCGGAGATGACAGAGCGTCTAGTGAAAGTAATCTGGTGAGTTTTGGTACTGGAAAATTTAAACCCATGCGTGGTGGCCCAAGTGGAAACATGGTCGACCGCATGCTGGAGAGAAACGGCAATAAGATGACAGTCAGCACCTGCACAAGCAATAGTGAAGTCATCAACATAGAGTGATGACCAAATATTGGGTGGAAGAACAGAGGCCAAATCATTTATAGCAAGGAGAAAAAGCGTTGTGCTCAGAACACATCCCTGAGGGACTCCTTCAGCTTGGATGAAGTCCGGGGAAAGCACATTGACTCGAACACGGAAATGTCTGTCAGTTAAAAAGGTCTTAAGGAAGGATGGGAGATTGCCTCGGAGGCCTAAGGAGTGGGCCTGGGCCAAAATAATATACCTCCAAGTTGTGTCATATGCCTTCTCAAGGTCAAAAAATATGGCAATAACTGAGTGATTATTCACAAAGGCATTACGAACATACGTATCCAAGCGTAGTAAGGGGTCTATGGTAGAACGGCCCTTACGAAAGCCATATTGACTAGCAGAGAGACTGTTGTCTCTAAATACCACATTAAACGTCGATTTACCAGACGTTCCATCACTTTGCAAACTGCACTAGTAAGAGCGATGGGACGATAGTGGGAGGCATCATGTCCTGTAGTACCCGGCTTGCGGAAAGGGAGAACAATGGCAGATTTCCACAACTGGGGAAGAACTCCTTGTGCCCAAATAAGATTGAAGAGGTGTAAGAGGACTACAAGGGCTGACTGATGTAAATGTTGTAACATACGAATATGAATGTCGTCAGGCCCAGCTGCCGATGATCGGCAAGCTGAGATTGTTGCCTCCAGCTCCTGAAGTGTAAAAGGTACATTATACTGTTCTTCTCTGAGAGAAGAAAAGTCCAAGGGTACTAACTCTCTGGCAGACTTTGAGGAAAGAAACGAGGGGCATAGATGGAGCCCCGGGAAATACGGACCAGATGAGTGCCAATTTCAATGGCAACGTCAAGAGGGTTTGCTACATCAACACCAGCAACCCGTAGAACAGGAGCCGGGACAGGAGAGTATTTACCACTCAATTTCCTCACTTTTTTCCAGACTGCACTCATAGAGGAAGCAGAGGTGATGGTGGAAACATAGTCTCGCCAGCAAGTGCGTTTAGCGTCACGGATGACACGGCGAGCGATCGCACGCTTCTGCTTAAAATCAAGAAGTCTCTCATCGGTTCTACTGTACCGGTACCTGCCCCATGCAGCGCGTTTCAAACGTACTGCACGAGCACAAGCAGGAGACCACCAAGGCACGCACTTCTGAGAACGCCTGCCTGAGGTTTGGGGTATAGAATGAGAAGCTGCGGCATAAACTGACGTCGAGAAGAGGTGTAGGAGCTCATCAATGGAGGATGAAGAAGGAACCTCACTAAAAGCAGTGAGTTTCGAGTAAAGGTCCCAATTTGCCCGATCAAATTGCCAGCGAGGGCTACGGAAAGGTGGTGAATAGGAAGGTGAAGTAAGAATGATAGGAAAATGATCGCTGTCATGTAAGTCCGGTAGAACAGACCAGGTGAAGTCTAGTGCAGTGGAGGAAGAGCAGACTGATAGATCGATGCAAGAGAGAGTACGAGTATGAGGATCAAAATGGGTGGGAGTACCCGTATTTAAAACATGGAGGGGGTGAGAGGCGAGAAAAGCCTCCAACTGGATGCCACGTGAGTCACAATGAGACCCCCCCCCCAGAGGAAATGGTGGGCGTTGAAATCACCAAGTAACAGAAGTGGCGGTGGTAAGGATGAAACTAGAAAAGCCAAATCTGGGATAGAAAATGCTCGAGAAGGAAAGAGATATAAAGAACATATTGTATACCACTTATTCAAGTGGATACGGGCTGCAGTGTAATGCAGCGAGGTATGGACAAATAGCTGACAGTACGGAATATCATTGCGTAGAAGAAGAGCACTTTCATTAAAGGTCCCATCTGAGAAAGGATCCAAAGAATACAATAAATTATAGCCTGAGAGAGGTTGGAAAACAGCTGAGTGTAATTTTGGTTCTTGTAAGCAAGCGCCAACAGGGGAAAACCTGGAAAGCAACAGCTGAAGCTCACCCCGATTACCCGAGGCCGCGGATATTCCACTGTAAATAGGCCATGATTGGCAATGAAGAAAATACCAGGAATCCGTAGGGAAGGGCACCTACGGACTAGATGGGTTAGAAAAGTCAACGTGTGGTGGCATTGGAAGGCGTTCAAGTAGCGAAGGAATGGAGCGTTGCGAAGAGTGGAGTTGTGGAGATGGAGGAGAGGGAAGAGAAGGAACAGGAGGTGGATCAGTGTCCATTGAAGGTTTAGTCTCTGCAATATATTCTGAAATGGCTTCAAGTGTTTCTGAATTCAAAGATGTATGGGAGACAATATTGGAGGTAGAAGGAGGAGAGTAAAGATTGGGACAATAATGGACTGTACCAAAGTAGGGGGGGACGAAAGAGTAGGGGACTGGAGAAGTGTGGGAGGGGACAGAAGAGGCAGAAACCTGGGAGGTGGCAGAAGAGGGAGAAACTTGGGAGGGGACAGGGGTGGAAGGCATAGTACGAGGAGGAGGGTGAACCTCCACACTTGTAATAGAGCCAGATAGAGGGGAAGAACTAGGTACAGAGACTGGAAAGGTAAAGTGCGGAGGTGGAAGAATGGAAGGAAGGGGCAACGAAGATTTGAGCACTGGGGTTCTTTTTTGACTTCTGAGAAGTAGAGGGGCGATTGGTAGAAGGTGTCGTACGGGGTCTTGTCGATACCGGGGCTTGTGAGGAAGGACGTGAAGATGTGAGAACAGACCGAGTTGTAGTTGGGACGTCAGAGCCAAGGACAGCAAAAGGATTAGATGCCAGAGTGGCTATGGGAGGGGTAACAACAGAGGAGGCTGCAGAAGATGACTCCAGAAGTGGGGGGACGTTTTGAAACACGAGAATAAGAAACACTGGGTAGTCTCCCTTGGAGGCGGAGATGAGTAACTGCCATAGCATAAGGGAGACCTGCTTCTTTGAGGCAACGGATTTCACGCTCATTCAAGTAGACCTGGCAACGGCAAGAGTACGAAGGATGAGCCTCATTACAATTAAGGCAAGATGGAGGTTGACTGCAAGATGTATTAGAATGGTCGTCGGCACCACAGACTGGGCATTCGGCCATAGATCTGCAATATTTTGCTGGGCGACCAAAACGCCAGCAAGTTCTACACTGTTGCGGTGTAGGGATCACCTTTCGAACTTGTAACCGATGACCCGCGACATAAACAGAGGGCGGGAGTTCACGGCTGTCGAAAGTTAATCGAGCCACATTGCAAGGGTAACGTCTCCGCCCGCGGGCAGGAAGGACGTAAGTGTCTACTTTGAGGATTGGGAGATCCTGGAGTTCCAGCTGTTCAAGAATGTCATTGCCACATGACTGGAAATTCTGCTGGACTATGGTATGGGGCAGAATGACAGTATCACTACAAGAATTGAGAGAAAGATGTTTTTCAATAGTGATAGTAGTAGTATCGATATGCGAAAGGAGAGAAAGATCATGAGCTTGGGTAGCATTCCGCATTGCGCGTACCGCTCTTGAGAGCATGAAATGAAATATCTCTACCTACATGGCGCAGGAGCGCTTTGCCAATACTATGGTCAGAAAGATAGGCAGAAGAAGTCGGTCTTAAAATAAAGAATTTAGTCCATTGTGTGGTCCGAAACTGAGCGTGGAGAGGAAGTGCATGACGTGTCTGTCTTTTCCTAGTAGAATGGGAAGGTAACGAAGGGACATCATCAGGAGATTGCCGTTGGCGTTTAGGAGTAGGACCGGAGTTGGTCCGTCGTGAAACGGGCTGGCGATTCGAAAATTGCCGTACCGTAGAGGGAGAGGCCGGAAGCATAGTCAAAGCAGAGCGGAGGTAACAAATCGAAGGAGTCAGTCGAAGCCCCGGTACCTGAAGCAGGTGAGGAAACAGCACCAGCAAGAGGTACAGGGGCATCAGGAGTGTCCGAAGAGTGGTCAAAAAAACAAGGCAGGGTCAGAATGGGGTGCGGTATCAAGAAGGGGCCCGGGGGTAGTGGGTTCATGGATTGGGTTCTCCATGGTTAGGTTACTCCTTTGCTTTTTGTTTTTAAGAAAAAAAAAAGAAACAAAAGAATAAAAAAAGGGGGGAGCGGGGAGGAATAGTTCCCAGGAGGAATGAAAGGGCCGGAAATCTCCCTCCGCGCCCAAGAGGACCTTAGCACTGCTAGTAGCGCAGATGCAGCATGGAACCCGTGCCATACCCTACCCTTCATGCCAATAAACCAGCAATCCGGGATAGCAACCTCACATCTGCCGAGCTACCTCAGTGGACAAAAGAGGGCGGCCGGATATCTGCCACAAAGCATACCTCCTTCGGCCACCACCCCCGGAATCCGAAAGGTGGCTTCCAGAGATACACCCGTCGCCTGAAAGACCCCAAAGCCACTCTCCGGGATACCGGAGAGGGATCGGGACATCCCCAGGCGATCCAGATTCCACAGCAAACTACTCCACCGCCAAGAACCCCAACAGAATGGGATGGACCCCGGTACCCTTTCCCCTACCTAGGAACTAGCGCGCCTGTGGGAAAAACCCCAAAGGCCAAAAAGAGGAAGGGCAAAAGGGAGGGGTGGGGAGGAGGAGGAGGAGAGGAAAAAGGGGAGGAGAGATTGGGGGGTAATTAGGTTCGGTCTGAGGAAGAAGACCGACAGGTCTAATTCCTCAGACCAAGAGCCTCTTCACCACGCCAAGGAGCCCCCCTTGAAGAGGAATTAAAATACAAATAATGTTTGCACTGAAAATGGCTAGCCCAACACACATCACCTGTGTCAAATATGTTTAAATTACAAAGAAAACAATAGAATTTCTGATTTCAGGATATAGTATTTAAATTGAATAATCACCACAATTATTGTTTGTGAGACAGATAATGGGGACATCATTAAGCAAGATACTTTGACAAAAGAGCAGGCCAACAGGCAAGGTAACACACTTCTGGCAGATGGAGCAAACAATCCATATGACAAACTTTGGACTGAGACTGCATTTTGAGTACTGTGGATGATCTACAGTACATTTGTTCATCTTCTGGTACTGGGTTTTGTCCTTTTCCATAAAACATTATTTACATATTGATGTAACATTATTTTACATTCTAATATTCCATCAGCATTCCAATGCTAATAATACTTGATTTTTTCTTCCTCAACAGCTGTCTTCTTACAAGGCACTGTAACCCAAAGTTAACACTTTCATTCAGTTTGTCTTCCCTGAAGTGTGCTGACATCACAGTGCAGATTACCCTCTGACTGAAACATCCCCACCCCTCCAAGTGCAAGCACTACTATTTTCACCTCCAGGGCACAAGTCTGGTTAACCAGTTTACCTGAATTCCTTCATTCTCCAACAGCACATCTATTTCAAAGCATTTGTCTCCATTTACTCCTATCTAACATGCTCTCACAATCCTACTGGATGCTGAAACCTCCTTTACAACATACCTCCAAATGTTCTTGATGACCCCCTACCCCTCCAGCACCCTCTTTGCCATCCTATACCTCTCCATCCTCTGTACATGCTCAAACCACCTCATCCTCTCCTCAGCCTTCTGAATTATGCCCTTGGTGACCCCCATTACCTTTTAATTTTTTTCCTCGACACACTGGCCGTATCCCATAGAGGCAGGGTGACCTAAAAAGAAAAACTGAAGTTTTTCATTTTAAATTTAGTAATTTATACAGAAGGGGTTACTAGCCCCTTGTTTCCAGCATTTTAGTCGCCTCTTATGACACTCGTGGCTTACAGAGGAGGAATTCTTTTCCACATCCATAATTTCCACACTTAAAATTCTCATTGCTGCTTCACACCTTACACCCACATAGATGTTGGTATATTACCACTTTTGACTGTAAAGAACTTACTTCTTTCCACTGATGCCTCAACATACCACCCACCTTATCCTATCCATTCATTCTATGGTTCACATGATCTTTCATATACCCATTTGTTGACATGTCCACTCCCAAATATCTAAATACATCTATTTTCTCCATACTTGCTCTCCAATCTGATATTCATTGTATCATTGCCCAGAGTTAATGTTACCCTCTAATGGTATTTGTAATAATTAACACTAATGGCACTTGTAATATTTAAAACATTATTTAAGCAGGCATTCATGAATTGCCTACTGAAATGGCTGACATGTTAAAAAAAAAAAAATCCATTATGTGCATTCTGAAAAAAAACAACAGGTGAGAAAACTAAATTATTAACAATGTTTTATTCTGAAAACATCACTCCTGCAGCTTATCAATTATTTTACTCCAAACAAAATTTGTATTGAGGATGTTTACTTTCCCCAAATGCCATTATATGAGTACTATGTATACACAACGTGCAAAAACTAGGCCTCTGTAGTTTACTAAAATAAGTATTGCATATACAGTATTAACAGCCATAGATAATCAGATAAAAATCTTTTATTCTAGAACTTTATTATATACACCTATCCCATTTAAAAAAAGGTAGAACAAAGTTGAGCGATCAGATGATAAAATATCATTACACATTAATTATTTACATAAGCTTATGAAATTGAAGTGAAAATATGAAGTGGTATGATCTGGTTCTGCCTATACAACAATTCCTTAAACCTGAGAGGGAAAGAGAGTAACAAAAATAAGTTTCTATGACTTGATCGCTATAATACAGCAACAGCTGCCAAACAAGAAAGGATTATAAATTTGCATAATGGAATATTAGCATTTAAATAATGCAACTGACCACTTAAAATTTTCATTTATATTCCAAGTAGAACTTTCCTCGTGGGCATTACAGAAGATATATGTGACATTATTGTACTGTTCTGTGGACTTGAATGATAGTTTGGTCCTTGATCTACCATAACTAGTTGGTCATTCAGGTTTAGGAGGCTTGTAGAATTGGCGGCAACGTTCTTCAAAGACTTTAAAACTCCGCTCTCGAATTATTTCTTCAATAGTTACCTCATTTTGTAGTTCCCGAATCTGAAAGTTAAAATTTGCATTAATGTTCAATTTAAAACTAAATTGAACTGATAGTTGAAAAATTAACACTCAGATGATACACAATAGTCCTAAATATAAATAGTAGCTTTCAGCAGTACTCCTATGTAGATATTTATTTTTTGTGCATTGTCTATGAGACTTACTACTGCACAACCTTCTGGGAAATTTAACTCCTTTAGAAATAATGTTTAGGTCTCCATAGATTGTACATACAGGAGTATGTACATTTAGTGCATCTGGGGACAAACAATTTGTACTGCCTACAGTTAAAAAATTGTAGATTTTTGTCGTGTGGTAACTATCATGTAATGGATGATAGCTAGTTTTGGATCCCCCAGTGAAATAAAACATGTACAGCACCAGGATATTTACTGAGGAGACCTTTTGCTCAAAGTGCTTTATCAGATACATTTGTTGATCTCTGATACAATCTCTTACCTGGATACCCAGGTACAGATCTAATATGGAAAGCATGGATACATCACAATGTATGAAGTTAGCATAGTACAGCGTGGTATATAATAACACGTCTATGAGAGTATGCCCAGTTTAAGAATTTTGTGTTAAATGTGTGTGTTATAAGTTTGCTTAATATGTTTATGAATAAGCAAAAATGTATTGACAAAATATACCTTGCTCTGTTCAGTGCGAAGCCTTCTCATAATGCAAGGGTCATCCATTTTTGCACTGGCTTCTGCTTGTATATCTCGCAACTTCATTTTGGATTCACTTAAACATGTTGCAATTAATGATCCTCTGTGCTCATATGTGTTATTTAACTGAAAAAATAAATAAATAAATAAATATGAGAAAGTAGTGGAATCCATCTCTACTTATCTGTATCTAAAATGCCTTATTTCCTCTATATAATTCCCCACATCTGGGGTAACTTCAGGTGCTCCTCAACTTACAAGGGGTTCATCAGAACAAAACCCCATCGTAAGTCGAATATGAATAAGATATGCTAAATAAATAAATGTCACTGAATAAGTAAACAAACAAATAATTGCTATAACTAAATACCAGCAATGAAAAGTAAAAAAATATACTATACAAGTTATGAACTTGCCGTCTTCATGCTGGGTAATTATCTTAAGTTTCATCTCCAAAGTAATTGCTTTTGCACCATTGTAAAGTCAAAATATCATAAATCAAGGAGCACCTGTACTTCCACAATCTTCCTGAAACTTTTTAACACCAGGGTCTAGTTTGGCCACTTCTTGATTATTATTATTATAATCAAAAAAGAAGCGCTAAGCCTGCCACTTCTTGAATTTTAGTAGATGCTAGGTACTTGCATTACAAAATTACTGCATATAAAATAACCTCTCATTTACAATAATTTGATGTACATATAATGTAAATTATAGCACATTCTAAACCACAGAAATTTGACACCTGTCTTATATGAACAAATAATTTCTAATGAGATATTTTCCAAGGCAAAATTCGAAAATTTTAATCTTGATAGCATAATTTTTATTTTTGCATTTTCTAATTTAAAATTTTAGAAAGTACATACTGCTGTATATAATTAGAAAACTCGCTTTCAACAAACCAGCTGTATCCCACAAAGACAAGGTGGTCCCAAAAAGAAATACAAAAGTTTCTCTTCGTAACTTTTTAGTAATGTACAGTATACAGGAGAAGGGGCTACTAGCCCCTTGTCCGGCATTTTAGTTGCCTCTTACGACACACACGGCTTACAGAGGAAGAATTCTGTTCCCTTCCCCATGGAGAATTAGAAAAATTGTATTTAAAAATTTTCATAAATGTAATGAATTTGGATTTTTTAGATACACAAGTCTAAATTTGTTTACATTACTAAATACCGTAAAAACTATCCTATGTACTGTATTCTACAATGAATATAACATTTTACCAAGAGAACATGAATAACAGCAGTTAAATTTAATATTGAGGCGGGTCATCATATGACTAAGACACGCATCAGGAAACACTTGCCCAGTTTCCTGACAAATCTTAACTAACCTAGCTTAACCCTTTGAGGGTCGAGAGGCTCTCTCCCAAACTCATTCTCAGGGTCGAAAAATTTTCGAAAAAAAAAAAAAAAAATTCTTATGAAATGATAGAGAATCTTTTTCCAATCATAATGACACCAAAAGTATGAAATTTGATGAAAAACTTATGGAATTATGTTCTTGCGAAGTTAGTGGTCTCAAAGTTGGCGATTTCGCCCACTTTGGGCCCTATTTTCGGCCAATTCCAATGTAGCAGTTGACCAAAATCATAGTTATTTCCCTAGAACTCCATTTGTTCTATCATTTGAGTACAAGAATCCGCCCATTTACCGATTTCAACTAACCAATAAAGTGGTCAGAAACTGGCAATTTGGTCAATTTCACACAAATTTCAAAAGATGCCAATTTCAAAATAGGGTTCAGAATAAACAAGACATTCATGGGACTAAAATAACATTTTATCTGTTCATCAGTCACGTCTCAAGGGCCCCTCTTACATTACCTTTGCTTTCCATTTTGAACTTTTATTCTCACAGAAAATAGAAAGTTTTCTGTTATGTATACTACTGCATCATTGTAAAAACGGTATAAATGATATCAGTGCACTAATGAAAGAATACCAGTTGAAATGTATTGGACGCGTGGCTTGATTTGTTTACTCTTGAATGTCGGCAAAAATCGATAATTTTCGCTACTTTGAGCTCACTTTCGAAGTACTTGTCATCATGAAACCAATCAAAATCATCTCTAATTCTGTAATATATCTTCCATTCTATCAAATGAGACCAAGGAAATGAGAATACAACCATAAATACCATACAAAAATTCACTAGAGAGTCGCTGTTTTAAACCAAAAACAAAGTTTTTTTTTTTCTCATTATGCACAGCGTGCTTTAGGATTTTTTTTACACTGCGCACACTGACCACACAGACCCATTCTTTCATATGTAGGCCTGCCAGCTTTCTTCCACCAGATTTGAAGGCGCTAGAATTTAGGCGTACAAGTACGTGACCAACCCTGGCTGCAATGACGTACTAGTATGTGACCAACCCTCAAAGGGTTAATAGAAAAGTTATATCATTCAAAATCTCAACAACACAGCAACAAACAATCTTTGTGCTAATTTAAAATAAATTTTTGGACAGCAATAAATAATGTTTACTATATTCTTTACCCTTCTTTGCAAACCACCTACATAATTAGATTACTGCAAACTATGCACATACTGTATATCCTTTAAGTCAGAATTGTACTTTTGTAGTGAAGATTAGTGGCCTATGATAAATATTGCAACCGAAAAGAAACAATGGTCCAAGTCAGACCGTAACATTGTCTTAGGTTTCTTTCTCCTGTGTGCAGGTTATTTGTGTACCGTTCCAGTCACAGTATTGTGCCTTTTTATTCTTTAAGAACCAATGAGTTTACTTGGTAGGTGATCTAAGGGTAAAGCAAAATCATCCAACTTTAAACTCTCTCTCTGCTATCAAAGGTGTGGACGTTAAAGGAAAGAATAACAAGAATCTCCCTAAAGCACATCCTTCAAAACCACCTTGGCTTTACAGTCTATTATTGTATAAATTCTCGATTTCATATCTGCAAAGACTGAGCTATGAACCATTATATATCAGACCAGTATCCAGATGACAAAACAGACTTGAAACATTAATTGTGAAAATTTAAATTTCCATATGGCAATAAATTTAAAAGTAGCACATCAAAAACTCAGTATTTATCTTTTTTTTTTTCTCAGAGTGCAGCACTAATGTATCTCAAAGGAATCTCTTCATTAACCAATGTAAGGTTACTATTAGGTAACAATGTTGAAAATCACCCTTAAAACATTTTCAGAGTGAAACTATTCAACAACATGTCTCGCATGTTTCAAGAATTTTAAGTACAAAACTTTTGATTTGTTCTACCAAAACTAAAGTAGCATAACAAAATTAATGAGCCTTTGTTCCACCTTCTAATGCTCTCACAACCAAGTACATACTGTCTTTTGATAACATTTTTATATCTTGTTACCCAGACACAATACTCCCATTATCAGTGACATACCTATGACCAATTTCAAGGCTTCTTCTATCCTCTCAACCCAGTCTGAAGCCAGGCTTCCTTCCTGACCACCTGGTCAACCAGGCTGTTGCTGCCAGTGGCCAGCAAGCCCAAGTTTTAAATCTGCTGGTCAAAGAGTAGGGGCACACTGGCATTTATTTTTTCTAACACACTGACCATCTCCCATTTAGGAAAGATGACCCCCCCCCCCAAAAAAAAGAAACTTTCACCATTATTCGATCAATCACTGTCTTGCCAGAAGTGTGATAACACCACAGTTCAGATTACCCTCTGCACTGCAACATCCATATCCCTTTCAGCTCAAAGTTACAGGCTCTGTACCTCCCACTTCCAGGATGCAACTCCAGCTAACCAGTCCCTGAATCCCTTCTTAAATGACATCTTGTTCATACTCCAAGACCACACTATGTCATATATAAATCACTTGTCTCTACATCAATCTAACATGCTGGATGCTCACGCCCCTAGTACTCTCAACCTTTACCCTCTCCAACCTTTCCTAGGATGATCCCTAACCCTCCTTCCCTCCACCCCAGATTTACATGCCCTCTTAGTCATCCTAATCTGTTCTGTCCTCTTTAAATGCCCAGATTACCTCAGTAACCCATCCTCAGCCCTCTAAATTGTATCTTTGATAACCGCACACTATTTTGTAATTTCTATGCTCCGAATTCTCAGAATATTCACACCACACATTGCCCTCAAGCATAACATCTCCACTTCCTCAAGGCTCTTCCTCATTGCAACATTTCAAACCCATGGTTCACACCCATATAAGCACTGATATTGCTATATTCTGGTATGTTCCCTTTTTTACTCCACAGATAAAACTGTCACCACATATTCTTAACACATCACCCACTTTTTCTCATCTATTCTATGGTTCACCTTTTTTTTTTTTTTCCATGTACCCATCTGCCGACAAGTCCCACTCCCAAATATCAAAGCACATATACTTCCTCTATACTCCCTCCCTTTAATATGATGGCCAATCTTTCATTAATCAGACTTTTTCATTATTCTTATCACCTTATCCCTTGTAATTTTCTTCTTTCACATACCCTAATAAATTCATCCACATGACTCTCCTATCCAAATTTCTCTTAGTGAATCTTCAAATTAACAAGGTTTTACCAAAGAATAAATAAAAATCATAATACTATAGCTGGAGCAATTAGGAGATCAAACCTTAGACAATGTTATAGTTCGTGCTAAACTCACAACTTGATAACGTTCCAGGGAGGACCAAAATTTTTTATATAGTTTTTCCCTAATTGTAAAAAAAAAAAGAGAGATTTTACATACCACATTTACAAAATGAGAATTTTTTTTGTACGCACTTGCCTCAAGCTGTTGTAAAAATTTATCTTGGGGATGACCTGTGCATAGGAAAACCAAAACAAATGTCTGTATTTTAATAAAGCAAAAACGACATTTATGGTGAAACACTAAACATTTCATTTGCCCCGCAGTCCGTATGTAACCAAATAGTAGAATAGATACAAGATGGATAAAAATTAAAGATGTTCACTTTTTACGCTCTAAGTGAATTTTTTTTTTCCAACATACCAGCCATACCTCACCAAAGCAGGGTGACCTGAAAAGAAAATCAAAAGTTCTTCCTTTTACATTTAATAACTTATACAGGAGAAGGGGTTACTAGCCCCTTGCTCCTGGCATTTTAGTCACCTCCTATGACACACATGGCTTACAGAGGAGG